CTCTTATGGTTATAGAATAGGAGAAAGCAACTCAAGATACTAGGATTAGGAAATACTTCTTAAGTTCTTATCCTCACGGACCTAACTTTTCATCGTTAATAATAATTTAATCGTGCAACTATATGATCTAATCAGTGTATCAGCTAACTAAAATTCAGAAAAATATTCATAAATCTTTTAAGTTTTGTTCTGTCGGGTCGATACGTATCCACAATATTTATAGTAAGGGATTAGAAAGTGGCTTACGTAATCTTATAAGATAGGTTTAACGATTTATTACTTAATTAGTTTCGGAAGGGTGAGTGGATCACTAACTTAATTTGATTCTTTATACTATATAATAGTAGCCAATGAAATTCTTATGTGAAAATGATTTTGAATTCAATTAACAGAACAAAACCAATAGCACAGTATGCAGTTATATAAATGTGTATTAGCGATAGTATTGTCCTCATATAACTGTCCCGAATTCTTATTTTTATAATCATTGATTCAATAGAAGTAACATTACAAACCTTGAATATTAAATAATTAATAGAGATCATGAAAGAGAAAATGGAAACATGTAAATAAATCAATATGTGGAAGTGTTCTAAAGGTGTGAAAGTGGAGATATTGGGATCATAATGCATCAATATATCAAATTGTTGCATACACACATCTTCTTCAACCTTTTTAAATATATAGTTCAAGCTATATAGGTGAAGAATCGACTTTTTTTTGTTTTTTTATAAATCATATCAGTTGATCTGGTTGGTAACCGGAGAAAACATACTTAATGCTACAAAGTATACTGATTATCACACTTTCTGATCCGAATTGTAAAGTATCGACTTCAAAAATAATGCAGATAGAACTTTTTTCTGCTTGCTATAGGAAATTCCAATGAAGCTAGTATGCTCCACGATGACGACTTAGTGTGATTTTATAGCACTTAAAAAGTTATAATTTTTGAAAATCATCCAGAACTTTCTTTATCAATTCTTCTCAGTATTTTTAAACTAAATCTTTGCATATATCTATATCTATATCTATACTATTATTTGCGAAGTGATTTTTCGCAACGGAGCTCTCACGTTAAAAGTTGGAGTGGTTAATATCGTTTATACCCTTAATGAATAAAATATAGAAATCACCTAAAAATCAAAACGAATAAAATATATAAATCACCTAAAAATAAAAACGAATTTAATACTTATTTGATTAGATAAATGATGTAAATTAATAATAATGATAAGAATTATCCATAATCTAAATATATATTTAAAAATAAAATAAAAAAGATAAGACTCATATATATTGTGTTGTTATCCATAAAATATATTTTTAATAAAAAATTCAAAAACAGAAAATACATAAATAAATATTCATAAAGTAAAACTTTTAATTGTATATAATTCAAAAAATAAAATTGAAAAAGTATAATATGTATTATTTTCAAATTAAAATAATATAATAATAGAATATAATGATATATATTCGTGAAATTATTTTTCGCCTCTAAACTCACACTTTAATTTAAATTTATGTTTATATTTTATATAGTTAAACCTTAAACATGAATTAATCAAATAAATAAAAGATCATTCAAAAAGAAAGAAAATACGTGTTTGACAAAAATAAATTCAAATATATTGTATTATTATCTAAACTAGTTTTATTCTTTCTATAAGATCAATTTTTGAATGTATATTTATCGATTCAATTTTTCAAATTGAAAGATAAATTTCTATATTTTTTTATCAATTAAGAAGAAATGAAATAGACTTTTGATTTTTCAAAATTTTAAAGGAAAATAGATATGTTTTTAATTTGTAAATAACTTTATCAATGTAAAAAAGTTTAATTTTTTAGCTCGAATTATTTAGATGCAAATAATCATTTATTTTGATGATTTTCTAAATTGACTTAAATATAACTAAGCCCGCATATGCGGGCAAAACACCTAGTATACTATTATTTGCGAAGTGATTTTTCGCAACTGAGCTCTCACGTTAAAAGTTGGAGTGGTTAATATCGTTTATACCCTTAATGAATAAATTATATGAATTAATTAAATATAAAAACGAATTTAAATTTATTTAATTAGATAGTTATTTTAAATAATAAAAGAGTTATCCAAAATCTAAAAATATATTTTATTTTTAAAAGATAATTCCTATATATATTGTATTGTTATCCGAAAACTATCTTTTCATAAAATATTTAAAAATTCAAAAACAGAAAACAAAAAATTACATATTAATTAATTAAAATTCTTAATTTTATATAAGTGAAAAGATAATATTGAATAATTTTTAAGATAAATAAAAAAAAATCAAAAAGAAAACACAAATAATAATTTATGCTTCTAATTTTTTATTATTAATATATTTACTAACAAATATTTATAAAAGGCTTAAGCCCGCATGGCGGGCAAAACACCTAGTTTCATTATGTTTGTACAACATATCAATAGTTGTGTTAATAAAAACTTGTATATATTATCTACGAGGGATATCACATTATGTATACAAACTAGAAATTTATGTTGTTGTTGCATCTAAGTAAATGGTCTAGAACTTTATTTGCTATATGTTGTGATCCCATAATAATTGTTCTTATTGGTTGGAATCTAATCACTTAATCAGGATTTAAAGTAAATGTCTTCAAGTCCTCTGAAATAGCATTTCCGCATCATATCTTTTAGAAATAATGTTCCAATATTTTAAGATAATTATATATTTTGGAAATTAACTTATATTTACTTCAAATGATTATTAGTTATATTTCGTCGTGGAGCTTTTTTGGCAAACAAATTGTGGAGTCTTTTTTTCATTTATGCTGTGAAAGGATGCTCGAACTGAATCCTGATTAAATTCAGCAGTCAGGTCGAAGTGGGGGTTGGCAAAGGGTGGTAAAACCTCCATTTTGGTTTAGGCATAACCGATTTTTTATCGGTAACATAAAATGTTGTTCTCATGTACTAACTTTGGTTACAAACCGTGGCATTGATCATCTTTCGTTCGATACTTTGTATATTTATTTTCCTTCATTTAATTAGATGATTATATCAAGTGTGGAATGATATTGAATATGAGTAGAGCATGTAAACAATTGAGTGTGTATCGGCGAATTGGTATTTTGGTGCATTGGCCACGAGTGGTCACTAGAAAATGTTTGGACCCACTCACTACAAATTACAGGAGTCAATTATCAAATTGTTTCGCGTTTCATAGATATTTTAAATTTTCTTCAACTAAAAATCAGCTCAGGAGTTTAATCTGGTAGAGTAGTCTCAAGTCCAACCCTCATAAACATAGGGCTGGGCAAAATATCCATAAATTTTTATTCGATTCGTTATCCGTTTTGATTCGAACTGAAAAATTCGGATATCCGTAACTCTACGAATCAAAGCAAATACTAAAATGTGATATCCGTAAGAAACGAAGCAAATCACAAATACTAAAATTTTTAGGAACGAATATCTGATTTGATATGTTATATACATATATATATATTTTTAAAGTATATACACAAGTTATATAAATATTATATTTTATTTAGTTTTTACAATATTTTATTTACTAAATTTATTATATTAGTTATTAGAATTTTAAAAATTAAATAAATTGTATTTTGTAATAAAATATTAATTATTTTATATTATTTTGAATTTTTTTTTTTTAATTTTTTTTTTTACGGATCGAATCGGATATCCGGTAAAAATTTAAAATTTTCCGGATATCCAGAGCAGCGAATATCCGGATGGTTACGGATCGAATCAAATCGGATAATTGATTATTCGGACGAAATAGATCGGATCACGAATACCTCTGAATACCCTGATATTTGCTTCGTGCCCACCCCTACCTAAACACCCTTTCTCAACAAAAAAGAGTCCAACCCTCCTTCATAGGTTATCCACTACCGTTTCATAGGTTGTATAGTAGGGTTTTTGGTAAAATGTTATAGATTCCAAACATTTCAAAAACTTCTTAGATCGTTAACAACGAATGAAAGAATAATATATATCACACTCATTCGATAAGAATCTTAGTGTTATTGATTGTCAGGTACATCTTTCTAAAATTCCCGTATCAAGGCTTTTTTTTTTCTTGAAACAACCCGTATCAAGGCTATAATCTACTTTTCATCCTGACGGTCAGTTTCATATCTATTTTTTTTTTAAAACTGTCGAGTTTTCATGCACATTACCTGTGTTTCTTTTTGTGTGCTTAGTCTTTCTTACTTAATTATGTTTTTTTTTTTGCTTAAATTTTGGTGAAAATACTTTTCCATATAAGATTCGGTTAAACAGTAAACATATAAACATTTCAATGAATTACAAGAACCGCTTCCAATGATGGCTTATAAAGAAATAGGAATGAGGCTTGAGATTAGTGTTTTTTTTTTTGTTTAGTTCAGTATTTTATGTACTTTGTGCTCAAACTTATCCGACCTATTGGTCAAAAGCTAAGTCTCTCTTTTTTTTGTTACAGATAACTTTAACTTTATAATTAAAGACCAAGGATTTATCAATTTTCTTATATAAAAACTAAGACGTGTTACAAAAGAAAAACTAATATGTTCCTTAACAATATGTTAATAGCCTATAATACTCTATGGGTATTTAAGTGTATTATACTATTTTTCCGGCAGGGTTCCTGACTTGTTGCATGGTTTGGAGGAGTGCAGATGCTTCTAAGAGTGGCGATCTGATATGTTCTCTATTAGAGAATCCTTGGTGCTCATGATTGAAATTTTTTTATTTTATTTTTATACTAGGTTGTGATGCAAATATAGATATTTACAAAAATAACTAAATTAGAATAATTATTAATCTTTTACTTTCATTTCTCTATAAAATTTATCTTTATTTATATGATATGCTCTATATACATACACACTATAATCCATATGACCCACTTCTCCATGATTCGTTCCTTTTCCAACTCTCCAACATTATAAAACCCTCCCACTTTCTCCTCTTACTTCAAACTAATTTCTTCCCACAAATACCAATATATTCATCTCTCTCTTATAAACCATATCAAAACAATGATTCCTACAGAAACCACCGGTTACTATCAATATCTATCGCCGGAGAACTTAATCCCGGCGGAATTCAACATAATAAACATGCCCTCATCTCCAACATCTTCCTCTTCATTAAACTACCTAAACGATCTCATCATCATCAACAACAACTATTCCTTAGCATCCAACGGTCAAGATCTCATCATGAGCAACAACTCAACTTCTGACGAAGACCATCATCAGAGCATCATGGCACTCAACGAGAGGAAACAAAAGAGAATGCTATCAAACAGAGAGTCCGCGAGGAGATCTAGGATGAGGAAACAGAGACATCTTGATGAACTCTGGTCTCAGGTGATAAGGCTTCGCAACGAGAACAACTGTCTTATCGATAAGCTGATGCAAGTATCAGATACTCAAGATAACGTATTGAAAGAAAACTCTAAACTCAAAGAAGAGGTTTCTGATCTTCGACGGCTTGTATCTGAACTGAAATCAAACAAGGACAGCAGTTTACTAAGACAGTTCGAAGAAGTTTAGTATTTCTTCTAATTAAATCGGAGGGTTAGAGATTTGGGCTTTGTGTTATCATATTGCGTTTTGGTTGATTCTCGAATGTAAGGTCGGTAACGATCATATATCATAATGTAACATAGTATAGTATATATATAAAGTTAAATAATCTAACTTTGTTCTTGACCTAATCTGTCTTTTTTTCTTTTAAATATAATTTAATATAAAAATCATAACCATGGACACCTCTAATATATTGAATTATTTACATTACATATCTGATTGGTAACATGTAAACTTACACATTCTGCAGAATCCGGATTTTGATTGATTCAATCCTCAATTTCATTTAAAAATAATTAACAGCAAAAAAAAAAAAAATCAAAAAGGTCTACATTGTTGTGTGTCTTTTGGGTTAATTGATTTCACCTGATGACCAAAAAAAAAAAGATTTCACCTGACTGCACTGTAAATATTGTCATTTTTCCACTATTATAAATTATTGTCGCCACGTAACAAAACTTTTCATATTCAGCGGTACCCCATAAATAATGTTTGAAGTATATTCTGAAGAGTATTTGCAGTGTATATACACCAATAACCAACAAATTAGGTAAATACCTTAACCACTTTTTCTTTTTTTAAAATTCCCAAAGTACCCATATCTCTTCTCTCTCCTCTCTTCTTTTTTTGTCACGATTCTCCCCTTCCCCTCATCCCTCCTCCTCCACTGCAATTTCTCTCATCCCTCCTCCTCTCCCGCCCCTCCTCCTCCTCCTCTCCTGCCCCTCCTTCTCTTTCTCCCCCCACCCCTCCTCCTCCTCCCTCC